AATACATTTGGCTAGTATAGCCCTTTGCTTCTTCCCCCTTCCTCAATTTCCTGACTTCCTGACTAGAATGCAGACATTTGGCCTGAAGGTACAATAGCCACCTTGTAACCATGAGGCAGTAAACAAGAGGATAAAGCATAAACAGAAGAGATGGCAGAGTAACTATAGGACAAGCTTGGTGTCTGATGGCTTCACTGAAACATCCTACCAGCCATGAGCAACCTTCCCCTAAGCTTCTTATTGTGAGAAATAAATAAACCCTATCTCTTGAAGCCTCTGTTAGATTTTATGTTACTACTAAAGGCCTGATGTATGAAATTTGCACACTGGGTGTGTGTGGGGGGTGGGGGGGGGCGGGGAATAATTTCTCAGCCCAGCCTGTACCCTCCCCAATCTGGGATCCCTCAGGGGATGTCTAATATCTTTTATCCCTCTCAAAATCCAGGACTGCTAGCTTCCAACTGCTTGCCTGATTCCCCCTAACCACTTCTGCCTGCCATCCTGATCACCCCTTAACTACTCCCCTACTGGCCTGGTCATCCTTAACTGCCCTCCCCTGCAGGCCTAGTCCCCCCCAACTGCCTTCCCTTGCCTGCCATCTTGTAGCAGCCATCTTGTGATGACATGGGCATGGACATCTTGTGACCACATGGGGCAGCCATCTTGTGCAAGGGCATTGATGGTCAATTTGCATATTACCTCTTTATTACATAGGATTTTTCAAATGCCTGATGAAAGCAAGAGCATGGGGGGAAATAACAATAAAGTCCTGACTTTTTAGAAATATGAGCAAAGCAAACCAAAATAGGAGAGCCAAGTAAGGTTTTCAAGGCACAAAATCTAGTGGTAGCTGGAAGGGTCCACCTTTCCAGCTAATACCAGCATTGACGGAGTTCCCCATGTGAAGGTCAAAAGAGGTTCCTGAGATAGTGGCTCAGAGCATTGAGCTCCTACTATACCCTTCTGCATTATGAAATAAAGTATTTATAGTACTTTCTCAGTCAAAACATGTTTTAGGTCACAAAGGGGCAAGAGTAGGGGACCGAGAAAGTGAAGAAGTTAAGGTCTCTAGGCTGATTCTACTTATTCAGCTAGTTTCAATGTCCTGCCTATGTATATGAAGAGAGAGAGAAAGAGAAATGCAGATGCTAATTATTTACTATTCATTTGCCATGCATCTATTTAAAGCTGCAGATTCCTTGAGGTCAAAGACTGAGTATTTTCATTCATGCTAATGCCTGGCACATAGTGAGACATTCCATAAATTCTTGTTGAATAAATGAATAAATGTCATTTCTATTTAATTCTCCTGTTATAAATATTTCAGGTTCAACTTCTCTAAAACAATAATCCATATAGTAAAAAAAAAAAAAATTAATTCCTGATTTTTTTCTTCTCTATATTCCTTGACCTTTCCTCATAAAAACACCATTTGTCTCCTAATATAGGTCCAATTTCATTTCCATCAGCAGAACCTATGAGGAATCTGTTGCTGTAAATCGAATAAATGAAGAGGGCAAGAGTTCTGCAACCTTACATTTATCTCCCAAGAGTCTCTACTCCATTTCTGCCGCTTCTCGCCTTCTGGGGGTGAATGAAACAAAAAGCTAACACAGTAGTTAATGAGAAAATAATCAGCTATCGCCTTTACAACACACCTAGGGCCAAAAACATCCATGGAGATCTGTTACCAACAGTCACACGAAATTGCATAAATACCAGAGACAATAATGTACAAATTAATTTGGATTCAATTTAAACTTGGGGGGAGAATTGGAACAAGAGCTAATCCCAGTGTTCTCTCTTTCACAGAAAACTTAAATCAACAACTTTCTAATTATGGATGAAGGAAGCTCCACCTGAGAATTATTAGGCAAGCAGTGCTGAGAATCTGCACCAGGAGCTGATCCATCCACAGTGCCTCAAAGAGGTATATTCTAGGCAGCCAATGACTTTGTCAATAGGGACTAGTTTTCATATGGATATGGCTCTGACTGATGTCAGCCACGCCACGCACCATGCTGGGAACTTGAACACCTCTTACCCAGCATGGTGGCAGTGAGGTTGCTTTAAGCCTTGGGAATAATAATAACTTAAGTTTTTTTATAGTAGCTTTTAACTCAAAAGATGTCGAAGTGATTTCCCCTACCCACGGGGTAAAACCTTTGTTTTCCCTTGCATTTTTCAGAGCTTTTCAGCATGAATGTGAGATCATCAGTACAAGTGGCCTAAGTGGCTCAGGAGGATGAAGGGCTGAGGGGAGGCAGAGTGAATAGCACGTGCTAAACAAACTGATAGCAATGAGCTCCCGGAGGGAGCCACACATGGGGGAGGCTGCCTCTGGGGGCACTCAGAGGTAATCACTAGTGTTCACTGAAAGAGAAAGTGGAATTTAGCAGACCTTCAGGACAATTCCAACCCAAATTGCCACATTTAAACCCTCTGTAGGAGTGCCACTCAGAGCTTAATCTTCACCCCCAGCAGGAAGCCTCATTCTGCACCTTTCTCCAAGACTGAGTCTTAGGCCTGCTTTTCTGGGGGAGGGCATCAGGAAGGAGTTGATGGCCGAAAGAAGTAGCAGGGCCATTACTAAGGCAGCTGGCAATATCCCCCATGTTTTGTCATCCCTGCTGCTCCCTCACTACCATGGCTCTCAATGCACAGGAATAAAACAGGGAAGGGAATGGCCAATTTAACCCAGCGTCTAAGAGGTATATTCTAAACAGCCAATGACTTTGCCAATAGGAACCTGTTGTCTTCACAGAAGTCAAGTAGTTCATCATCCTCAGAACCCCAAAAAGAGAAAGGGATGCAAGTGGTTTCATGAGTGCAGGCTGGAGGTGTGAAGTTTACTAAAGAAGAAAACAAGTATAGCTCAGAATGGATGAACTGTTCAAGCCCCATGATGCCAGCAGACCCAGGGGTCCAGACCTGACTCAATGCAAAGGGAGGGCCACTTCTCTTCCTCATACAGATATCACTAGACAGGATCCCTGCAGTCCAGTCAGATAAGTTCCCTGAAATGCTGACTGTGGGGTAAGAGTCATCACCTGACTTTTGCAGAGTCTGTACAATAAAGACACAAACCACGAACTCTAGGGCCAAGCCTACCTAGAGCAGATTTTCAGCTTTGCCACTTGTAACTCTAAAATGCTTTGCAAATTAGTTACACTCATTGAACCTCAACTTCCTCATCTATAAAATATCTATAATGTTGCTGTAAATTTAAATGACTTTATTAAAAGAACAAACTTATTTTTGGTTGTTTTTATGTTTAGATCCAGATTCCCTAACACTTAGAAAAGTAGGCACAAAGCTCAGTTAGATTATTAAGGAAATTAATTGTAAATTATTCTTAAAATGTTATATACATGCCTTTGTAAAAGGGATACAATGCATTCTTATTAGTACATACCAGAGAACCTATATCAATCAGTGAAGTCACCAATCTCCATCTTTGATTCTACACAGTATATTAATTTTTTAATTTGATGACAATTTTATAATTTAATTATAATTTTTCAATTTGATAATTATTTAATTTGATGATAAATCCAATCCCAGGATTTCTCCCATCTCCCTAATCTATCACGAAGGAATTTTTTTTTCTTTGTAATCAGTGTATTAAGGAGACATTCATACATTTCAAGAATTGCTTAAATTCTGATATCCAGATTTAAGCTTGTCAACATATGACTTTAAACATACAATTAAAGCTATTCATAATTTGCTATATTACCAACATTAAATTACAATTACTTTGGAGCATAAGTTAAATGGTTTAAAGTAAGCCTGTAACATACCTAAAACACACCTTCCTAACTCTTACATGCAAATTACTTCTCCATGTAAAGGTTTCATCACTCAACTTCTAAGTTAGCCTACTCCAGAAGTCACTACTCTAAGGCTTATGATCCAAAGAGAGGGGAAAAAATGTAACCAAGGATTGACATATAGTTATATATATAAAAAAAAAAAAAAAAAAAAAAAGATGGCACCACAGAAGTGAATGCAATTCTACAAGTGCAAGCCCGCAAGAAGCATATTATGATAAACCCCTTCTTTGGAAAGGTATCATTTCTATCATTGATACCACAGGTTAAATTATATGGCATTCCACCTTCAAGTAACAGTTGAGGCAATAGAATAAATGCAGAGGCATCACCGTAAATCCCACTTAATTCAACTATACAAACTAACACTTCTCTACAAATTAAGTTCTTTGTCTGACTGCCAGTTAAATACAGAATTTTAACTTCATAGCTTAACAATTAAGGGTCACACACCAAAGTCAATACATATATCTAGCATTCCAGTCTAAGCTATTCCATATACATAGCCCAAATTAATTACAAAGTATGACCTAGAAAATGCTAGGGGAATTTTTTTTTTTTTTTACAGGTGTTAAACTTATCTTGCACACTTAAGTCATCATACATACAGGGCAAAGTCAGAGCTTTTATATTTGAATTTATTCTTCATTTAACTTTTAAAACATTACCATACTTGAATATTAAAACAAAAACAATAGCAAATATTGTGCATATTATGGTTATAGTCCTTCACTCCTTCACAACTGTATATAAAATGCCAGCAGTGAGTGTTATTCACTGGCCCCATCAAAAGGTCTGACACTGAACACCACTCCTAGGTTGATGTTCATCATCCTCATATGCTTCTCCATTGTAATGACGCCATCTTTCTTGATTTGGATTAAAGTCTACCAGTTATACCTGCTCCATTTCATCAGTCTCTTCTACATTCTTCCTTTCAGGTAGGAGTTTTTCCAGCAAAAAGAGTTTATCTGGAGAGAGAAAGCCATTCTCAGGAAAGTTTACCTTAAATTTGATGATTAGGCAACCCTTCTCATAAGATCTACAATAAATTGGCATGCCTTCATTTAATGCACACTTGATATCTCCATGCTTGACAATCTGACCTGGATGAGAGGTGATGACTATAGTTAGATTGTCTTGAGTAGCCATTGGCTTTTGGAAGCCTCACAATGCTTCAACCAGCTGTATGTCCATACACATGAAAAGGTCTCCTCGTCGAGTGAATATAGCATGGTCCTTCTGATCTAAAACAATAATAATATCTCCTGGCTCCAGTCCTGGTTCCTGGTCTCCTTCATCATGGAATGTTATCTTCTGGCCATCTTTCATGCCTTTATCAACATGAACTTCTAGAATCTTCTTCTCTCGAACTGTCTTTCTTCCGTTGCAGCTTTTACATTTATCTTTAGGACTGATCCTTTCCCCATGGCCCTGGCACTCCATGCACACAGACTGAATTTGCTGAACCATTCCAGGGCCTATCTGATGAATTCTTATTTGCATTCCAGTCCTCTGCAATTGAGACAGCACTCTACTGCTCCTTTCTTACCACCTCGGTCTTCACATTTGTCACAAATCACATTCTTTTGTAGAGCTAGTTTTCTCGTTGCACCATTGTATAAGTCTTCTAAGGATACAGAGAGCTGATGTACACGTTTTTACCTCTCCTTTCCCTCTGCATCCTTCCTCCTCCTCCAAAAAACATATCAAAGATGTCCAGGGGGGAACCAAAACCACCACCTGCTCCACCTTCCTTAATTGCTTGTTCTCCTCCTTTGTCATACAATTTCCTTTTCTTTGCATCAGAGAGCACTTCTTAAGCTTGAGAAATCTGTTTAAACTTCTCTCCTTCATTTGGATTTTTATCGGAGTGGTACTTCAAGGCCAGCTTCCTATAAGCCTTTTTCAGTTCTTCTTGGGTGGCATTGGGCTTGACCCCCAAAACATAATAGTAAGTAGTTTCTTCCACCATCTTTGACAGCCGGTGAGCGGGAGAGGCAGGAATGGAGGAGCTGGAAAGGGCACATTGCTGCGCAGCTCAGGTAACCGCTGCAACTCCTTCACCTCTCCCCGAGCATTCTGGAAAGTTCCCAAGGAATTTCTTGTAACCCACTTATGGCTCCTTTTTCGATTGCAATGTATAAAATAAGTTGCAAAACTGCATTCTCCGGAGCATTACCTCAATCTATTGAAATTTTGTTTCCTACTTTTTGTCAACAGTTTGACTCAAATAAACTCACAAAAATTCTTCACATGTTTGAATGTTTCTTACCTTGTCACTGACAATAATAAAGCTGCTACGAGAATTTTTTAAACACCTACCTGAATTTTAATGTTTATTTAGTATATTTAAGAAATCAAGCAAATAGCTACCAATGAAATGATTTCTTAATGATACCCACATCTATTCTTTGGTAATTTTAAAATTCAAATTTTAAAATTAACATTAAATAGAATGCATCCAGAGGCTCAGGTGATGGGTTTAATTATTCAGTGCCTAAGTGTTCTGGTTAGTCTAAACATAGAAGAATGTGCTAGAAAATTACAAAAGTAAATTTAAAAATGACCACCCATAATTTGATCATTAAAATTAAAAAATTAATTTATACATATTCAATATGGCCAATATCTTGTCCTTTATCTCTTTTTTGAATCAATCTATATATATAAAAGCCTAAGTAACCATTGCAACTGACCGGATGACCAAATAGACTACATGGGACAACCAGGCCAGCAGTGGGATCAGTGAGGAGAGACTAAATGACTGAGCAGCAGGCTGCGTGGGGCAACCAAGTTGGCAGGGGGGTCAGTGAGTGTGAGTGTCCCATGTGGTTCAGGGTTCAGGTTCTGGAGGAGGTCACATGCAAATGAAAGAGACTAGAAAATATTAATTTGGGAATATTGGAGCCCAGGCAGAAGCCCAGCTCAAGAGAAAGGACTGGCTTTGCTCTGGCCTAGCATACTTTTATTCAGGTTTTGGGATACACCCATAGCGCTTAGGCAGGCAATTCCAATGACAGTTCCTGATAGCCCATCAGCAAGGATTTATATAAGACAGAAAGGATTACATCAGAGCCTTCAAGAGTAACCAGCCTTCCGGGTTCCTTGTCCACATCTCTCTGCTAGTGAAGACAATGGGCAGCTTTCAACAAGTGAGGGGCGACCAAACCACCAAGCACCAAGCAGCAGGCTGCATGGGGAGACTAGGCCCATGAAGGGGGGTGGGGGGGGCAGTTGAGGGCAAACATGTTGGCAGTGGGGGGCAGTAAGGGGTTACCAGGCTGGCAGGGGGCAGTTGGGGGCAACTAGGCCAGCAGGAGGGGGGGGAGTAAGAGGCAACTAGGCTGGTGGGGGGAGGTAGTTATGGGCAACTAGGCCAGCAAGGGGGGCAGTTGAGGGTGAGCAGGCCAGCAACAGGGGGGGGTGCAGTTAGGGGCAATCAGGCAGGCAGGCAGGTGAGCAGTTAGGAGCCAATGGTCCCGGATTGTGAGAGGGATGTCCAAGGGGTCCTGGATTGGAGAGGGTTCAGGCTGGGCTGAGGGGACTCTCCCCTAACCCCCATGCACAAATTTTTGCACCAGGCCTCTAATGTAGCAATAAATATGTACTGGATGTCTCCTGTGGCCAAGGCTCTGTGATTGGAGCTATGGAACCGAGAGTTATCAGTGGATTCCAAATGGATCCTTATCTAATTGAATGCTAGAAAAATGGTGTGCAGTCCTTTTAAAACTGTGATTGGAGTATCTTTATTGAGTCTCTTATTTGTAATTTCTCATTTTTATAATAGCATCTATTTATCTATCTTTCTAGCTGTCTCTTGCAATGCTGCTAAAATTATTTCACAATGACTTACCAATTGGAGGGCAGAACCAACAGACATTTTAACTATAGTTCATGCAATAAACAGCCAGTGCCTAGCACAAGAAGAGAAATAGAAGGGGGAAGAATATCTACTGATGGTTTACTGAGTGTTGGTGTCTCATATATTTTCTTTATTTAATTCTCACAATAACCCTATGAACTAGATATATATTATTATATCCAGAGAACAAGTGAGAATACTGAAGTTAGAAAAGGCTAAGTGACTTCCCATTGTTATGACAAAGCACTTACAGCATCATTGTTTTTCATGAAGCTTCTACATGTACATTACCCTTCTGCCCACAATTAACAAGTAGATGATAGGACTTGCCCAAACTGCTGCAAAGCAGTGAGAAGCATATGAATAAAAGGCTGGGGTTTAGAATCAAGCCTGCTCTGAAGTCCATATTTTACCACTTACTCATTATAAGGCTTTGAGCACATTATTTAGTCTCTCTAGGTATTAGTCTCTATATTAGTAAAAGCCCAAACAATTTACTTCATTACAATGTCATATTATGTGAGAGAATAAATATAAAATACTTAGCCAAAGTATGCCATATTAATACCAAAAGTGCATACAATGGTTATTACTGTGCATTTAGGTAAGAGTTTAAGCTCTCTCAACTACTGAGGTCCGTAAATATTTTTTGTAAGTAATATTTCATTGTTAGAATAACCTAGCCTTATTTAAACATCTTTGGCACTTCCTTATTTTATCTGGATGACTTATCTTAAACTTCAAAAAAAAAAAAAAACTTATTTCCTTCCCAGCTAAAATGGCCAGAATAAAATCAGCCCTAGAAATGTTTAATTCAGATGCTTCATAACCAAAATAACAATAGCTAATATTTTAGCTCTTATTTTGTACTAGGCATTGTTCTAAGTGGCTTTAACTTATACTTATTAATAAATTAATCCTCATAATATCCTATGGAATAGATACCATTATTATTGTCATATCCATTATATATAGTTACTATGACTTGAACCCAGGCTTACTCCAAAGTCCATAATTCTAATCACTACATGGCATTCTCCAAATAGCATTAAAGGAAAGTACAATGTATAAATTCTCTGGCTTCAATAGAATCAGGTAATAGACTTACTAGCTCATAATATAAATCCAATTTATTTATTCTATCCCATAAGCCAATAGCTCAAGAAACCAGCTCTTACAGATTTTAGACAACACAAACTTTCATTTGGAAACATGAAATTCAAGGAACTTTCCCCCACTTCCACTCCTATCATGCAGCATGCATTAATCAACAGAAAGCTCTACTCAATCGTAGGCATTATCTTTCATTTGTAAAATTCAGTTTGCTGTGGTTAATTTTTTAATGCTTCAGTTTCAATTACCCATGAAAAATTACAGCTCTTATATATTAAATATTAAAACTTTCCTGTAAAATTGCATATAGTTAGTTCTTGCATTTAGAAAAATAGCACCATCTATATTTTAACTCTTTGTACAAAATCTTCCTTTTGCTAAAAGCAAAAATCTTTGTGGTTAGAATCAACTATAGAAATCTGAAGAAATCTAAAAAATCAATACATTTAAACAAATGATTCTGTAAGTTATTAGTATTTCAAAGGAAAACTAAGAATAGTACCTCAGAGCTTGCCAGGGTTATTGTCTTTAATGGACAAAATTGCATTGGCAGCCTGAAATCTTTAGTTTATAGCAAAGCTAATTAATTCACAGGAAATGATACTATGAAGTGGTCAGAAAAATAAAAATTGCTATGGGCAATTTAGTGTAACAGTCAGATATTGAGATGTCACCAGATTAGGCCATAATAATAAATAATCTCCTAGAAGGAAAAAAAGCTAGATGTTTTAGGAAGTTTAAGTAAATAATTTTCAAGGCCTTTCATATAAAGGTTTTTAACTTTTTGATATCACTCCTAAGTTTTAATATTCTCCTATAAATTCATGCTTAGAAAGAAGGTGAGTATGTCTTGAAATAAAAATCCTTTTTGTATTTTAAAAAAGTTACTAAAGTTCCTTGGGTTAGGTCCAAAATGGCTTAACTCAATGCCATATTCAATTATGTATCAAATAGCTTTTTGTAAATTTTATTTATTAATCTAATCATTTATTCATTCCACAAATATTTCTCACTAGCTATGGTACAATCATTATACTTGGCACTGAAGATATGGAGGCAAATAAGAAAGACAACTTATGAAGTTTGCCAACCCCATTTTAAAGGAAAATTTAGATATTAAAGAAAAGCAATAATAACTCTTAACAATGTACTAAAATGCTTTCCACAAATGTTACTTTATCCTCAGAACATTTCTTGAAGAAGCTAATGCTATATTATTTTACTAGAGATGAAAGAAAACTGAATCTCAAAGTCTTCAGGTAAATTTCTAAAGGTAACACTACTAATAAAAAAAACAGACCTTAACTTGAAAATTTAACTTCAAAATCCAAAATCATCTTATTGTATATTGTTTCTGTGTATAGGCCTAGTAATGGATCCTCAAATAGTTAACCAATTAGGAATAACTTTTCTCATCAAACCCTCTGAAGAAAAAGACAAGAATAACACTGAATATAATATTAGGAAATGGGTTTAATAGCCTAACTCATAATTTTCAAGTAATCCTCCTATAATATTATAAAATAAT